CACTTGTGTCCAAATGGTCGTACGGATGACACATCAGATACAATGGTGCTTGTAGTATGAGGATTGAAAGGTTCTTCCATTAATGAACGCTTGAGAGATGTCTTGCCAGTACCAGCTGATCCAGTAACATAAGACGAGCATACGCTACATTAGCACAGCCTTGTTTTTTGAGAGCTCTCTCGTAGGTACCTACCACATTATGGGTAATTTTGGAGGGGATAAATTTTGGCAAATTACTAAAATTTTAGTGATTGGTGGACTTAATTTGGCAAATTTGTGGCCATGGGCCATTGAGCATGTGCATATTGCATAATGGTACAAAAATGGCAGGTTTTAATTTGATGAATGGCTATCAAAATGCCAAATTTGCCAAAATTTATCACTTCCAAAGTTACTACCTATATGGTACACTGATGTATATGAATTTGTACATTAGGTGTTAGGCACCAATAACATCAGGAATTCAGCATACATGTATAAAAAAGAAAAATAAATCATTCATTTGGCTGAATTAAAAGCAGTTAAGTAAGTGCATAGTGCATGCATATAGGATATGCTTTATAGGTTATGGGTGATTTTGACAATTTGCTTACTTAAATCCTATTAACAGTGATGATAGAAAATATTTCTTAAAAATTAAATTTATATTTGACCTGGACTTACGTCCTGAAAAATTAAAATAACACAGTTTAGTAGAGTATCACAATGGTATCATAGAAGAAAAGAATAGAACTACATATTTATGCATGACTTACTTCCTAAAAGTATTAATCACAATGGTATCATAGAAGAATAAATTACACATTTACATATGACATGACTTACTTCCTGAAAGATAGTAAATAACACAGTTTAGTAAAGTATCACAATGGTATCATAAAAGAAAAAAATAAAATTACACATTCACATATGACATGACTTACTTCCTGAAAGATTGTGAAGAACACAGTTTAGTAAAGTACCACAATGGTATCATAGAAGAAAAGAATAAAATTACACATTCACATATGACATGAATTACTTTCTGAAAGATTGTGAATAACAAAGCATCACAATGGTATCATAGCAGAAAAAATAAAGTTAGAAGAAATAAAGTTAGAAAATCACATGTGATGTGACTTACAAGCTGAAAGATTGTAAATGACACAGTTTAGTTAAGTATTACAATGGTATATCATGGAAGAAAAGAATAAAATGACACATTCACATGTGACATGACTTACTGCCTGAAAGGTTGTGAATAACACAGTTTAGTAAAGTATCACAAAGGTATCATAGAAGAAAAGAATAAAATTACACATTCATGATCGACTTACTGACTAAAAGATTGTGAATAAGAAAGTTTATGGTAAAGTATTGGTGTCATAGAAGAAATGAATAAAATTACACGTGATGTGACTTACTCTCTGAAAGATTGTGAATAACAGTTCAGTAAAGTATCACAATGGTATCATAGGAGAAAAAAATAAAATTACACATTCACATCAACTTACTGACTGTAAATAGCAAATTTCAGTTTAGTAAAGTACCACAACGGTATCATAAAAGAAAGAATAAAATTACACATTCAAATGTGATGTGACTTACTGACTGAAAGATTGTGAATAACACAGTTTAGTAAAGTATCACAATGGTATGATAAAAGAAAAAAAGAAAATTACACATTCAAATGTGATGTGACTTACTCTCTGAACAATTGTGAATAACACAGTTTAGTATCACAATGGTGTATCATAGAAAAAAATTATACATTCACATGTGCTTTTAACTTACCCTCTGAAAGATTGTACAACACAGTTTAAAGTATATCACAACGGTATCATACAAGAAAAGAATAAAATTATGCATTTACATAAGTTGTGACTTACTCTCTAAAAGATTATAAATAACACAGTTTAGTATCACAATGGTATCATAGAAGAAAAGAGTAAAATTACACATTGACATGTTACATGACTTACTCTCTGAAAGGTTGTGAATAACATAGTTTAGTAAAGTATCACAATGATATCATAGAAGAAAGAAATAAAATTATAAATTCAAATGTGACATGATTTACTGGCTGAAAGATAGTGAATAACACAGTTTAGTAAAGTATCACAATGACATCATAGAATAAAAGAATATAAATACACATCCACATGTGACGTGACTTACATACTGAAAGATTGTGAATAACACAGTTTAGTAAAGAATGACAATGGTATTATAAAAGAAAAGAATAAAATTACACATTCACATGTGATGTGACTTACTAGCTGAAAGATTGTAAATAAAACAGTTCACAATGGTATCATGAAGAAAAGAATAAAA